AAAATAAAATAAAATAAAATAAAATAAAATAAAATAAAATAAAATAAAATAAAATATGTTAGTCTAAGATTCAAGTCTTGCATGAGTAAAACCAGTTCACTAAATATCTTCATAATTTATTAAACTTTTATATTTATTTATAACTATTTAATATTTTCAAAAAACAAATTTAGCCATATTTTGAATATGAACAGTTGTTTAATCCCGCTAAACACCAGATAAAAATGGTCTTTGATGATCACAAAGATGTATTTGAAATCTAAGTTTCCCAGTTTCCCAATGCTGATTTCATAATCATTAGAGAGAAAGGGTGTCTTCCAGAGTACAATGCAGAGAACTGAAGTCCTGCTGCAGTTCTAAATTATTGCTTGAAGGATTCATCATACTGATTAACTCTAGATAGGATGATAGTGGGATCTTGGTAATAAAATACCTTGTATTTAGAAACAGCAAATAAAAACAACAGCAACATGATGACACCACTACTAATATGTTTGGAGTGCTGCAGTAAAGGTGATATACTTTGGAATATTTTATATTTATCTTTACTTTTCTAATATTACTGATATGTTATTAATAAATGTGAAGGATGCAGTTTTTACCATAGATCTTACAACTTACTACATAAATATTCTGCTTCTTTAGATAGAATTTTCACAGAATTCTTACCAGTGATACCGACTATTTTGTCTGGAGCTAGTTATTAAATTACCTTTGAAGTTTAATATTTTATAATGGAAAGTATTGCATGCAAGTACACACCACAAATCTAACTTGATTCTTTTTTTTTTTTTTTTTTTTTTTTCTTTTTTCTTTTTTTTTCCCCAGTTCATAGCAGCCAATGACAAGCTATGGTTTTGGCTGGAAGTTAACTCAGTAGTAGATTTCTTCACGGTCCCTCCAGTGTTTGTTTCAGTATATTTAAACAGAAGTTGGCTCGGTAAGTAATAGAGTTTCTCTTTTTAATAACTATAATAAAAATACCTAAACTTGGCATATTTTGGTAATGCTTTCACCTTATGAAGTGATTCTACCATTTCAGTAGACAGGTGAGTTATGTCAGAAAAAAGCACTAAGTCAATCAAGAAAAATGACCCAGCCAAATGAGTGGAATTAAATTCAGCTTGTGAGTAGTCATGAGTGGTGTTCCCCATGGAGGTCAGTATTGGGACCAGTCCTTTTTGATGATTTGATCAGGAGGATTGGTTGAACCCTCAGTAACTTTGCAGATGACACCAAGTTGGGAGGAAGTATTGATCTAATTGAGGGTCAGAAGATACTACAGAGAGATCTGGATATGCTGGATCAATGGGCTGTGGTAAATGGGATGAAGTTCAGCAAGACCAAGTGCCTAGTCCTGCACTATGGTCACTACAACTCCATACAATGCCACAGGCTTGTGGCAGAGTGGCTGGACAGCTGGGCAGAAGAAAAGGATCTGGGGATGTTAATTGATAGCCACCTGAACGTGAGCCAGCACTGTGCCCAGCTGGCAAAGAAGGCCAGTGGCATCCTGGCTTGTATTATGAACAGTTTAGCCAGAAAGAGCAGGAAAGTGATCATCCCTCTGTATTTGGCACTGGTGATGCTGCACCTTGAGTACTGTATTCAGTTTTGGGCCCCTTACTTCAAGAAAGACACTGTGGCCCTGGAGCATGTCCAGAGAAGAGCACTGAAGCTTTGAGGGGACTGGAGCACAAGTCTTATGAGGAGCAGCTGAGGGAAGTGGAATTGGTTAGTGTGGAGAAGAAGAGGCTCAGGGTAGGCCTTACTGCTCTCTACAATACTCTGAAAGGTGAATATACCAAGGTGGAGTTCAGCCTCTTTTCCCAGCAATAGGATGAGAGGGAATGGCTTCAAGTTGCACCAAAGGAGGTGAAGGTTGATTGTTAGGAAAAAACTTCCTCTCCTAAACAGTGGCCAAGTATTGGAACAGGCTGCTCAGGGAAGTGATGAACTCAGCACACATGGAGGCATTCAAGAAACATGTCTATGTAGCACTTAGGGACATGATTTAATGGGCATGGTGGTGATGGTTTGATGGTTGAACTTAGAGATCCTTTCCAATCTTGGTGGTTCTACGATTCTGTGAATATAATTTCCTCCCATAGGTATTGGTAAGATCCATCTAGAGAATACAGTTTAATATGTGTCTGTTGTTACAAAATGGGGAATATAGTATAATTATTACTTGAACAGATTATTCTAGCCATTTATTCACTGAAATCTACTGTCATGAGTCATCAGCAATGAAATCAAGAGGTTTCCTTCACTTTTTGTGCCAATAAAGAAAAATTTTAAAGCCATTGGAGCAATATGTTTGGGAGATTTGGATAGATGTTACTGGTCTCAAACCTTGGGTAGGAAAGACTGCTAGGAGTGCACTGGAAAAAGATATGGCACACAAAAAAGATCACAAAATGAAACAAAGTAGATTAAAAAAAACCTAAAAATGGTCATGTACTATGGTATACTAAGTTTCTTGTACCAGTGGCATATTTTTATCTAGTTACGTAAAATGAGGATCAAAATTTGGGAACTTTTGTTTGGAGAAAACTTTCCAAAATGTTATGCTTTTTAAGTGCTATATTTTTAGATAACAAATGAAACCTCACCATTTGTCTATCAATTTCTATAGAAACATTACTGCTTGTTGTCACTGAAAACTGAAAGCAGTAAAACTTGTAGTGAAACAGAGAATTTTAAATAAAATTATGATATTCTCAATTTCAGAAATACAAATATGCAGAAATTATCAATAATTCAGTGCTGTATGAAAAGAGACTAATAGATTGCATAACCATGTTCAGGTTCATTATATACATTAGCGGTTATTAATAAACCAAAGAAGAATGCAGCAAAGCAGCCAAAAAAGATGATTACAGATCCTCATATCGTTAAAGTCTTAATTGCATTCTACCATATTTATTAAATGAAAATTTTGAAGTAGAAAATGTCATAAAGTTCCATACTTTTTATAGAAAATAAAATTGAAAAGAAAGTATGTCAATAACAAATGAACTAATCCGTAGAAGAAAATTCACATTTCACTAGCAGTTTTCCCAGATTCGAAAATCCCAGAATCTTATGTAATGTGATTTAGTAGGATGTGTTTTCATACTTGAATCTCATGTAACATAGATTCCCACAGCTTTCAGATTTAAGTCATTGGAGATGAAGGTGAACTGAGAGGAAAAACTAGCATCCATAGAAAATGAATATGAAATGAGCGAAAATGCAAAAAAAAAAAAACACTAGAAAATTATGCAAAAAGATCATTAGTTGGAATTAATATACTTTATGAAAGTGACTGTGTAAATGACTCGCTCTTGGTGACACAGCAATCTAACAGAACCAACAAGAATAATGAGAGTGCCTTCATGTTTATCAGTTTTCCCTGTATACTTTGTATATGATCCATGTCATTTTGCAGGCGAAGTAAATGTTGTAATTATATTTATTTATTGTATTAAAAGGATTTCCTCTTCTCGTAATTGCACCAATTTCACCTTTTCTGGATTTCTTCTTTATAGTCCCACTTGTTTTCTGACTGAATCCTTTTTTAGAGGTATTTATCACCTGCCGAAACACAGATTTGTTTAATTTTTTATTATGTAGCTGGCTTATGAGCAACATATTTATGAGGTTTGAGCATTTACACTTGCTTCTTTTATGTTTATTCCAGAGGAGCTTTCACTTTGGGAAAATCATTCTCAATGAAATAATTTACTTATTCAAAAATGTGAATTATTGGGGTCTGTGATTTAGACCAGCAAAATGTCATTTGGAATTGTTGTGGTGAAAGAGTTTTTAAGCAAATACACAGAAGTGTATTAATGAAGAGTATTCCTTCATAGTTTTGAAAGAGAATTTACTTTCCTGAAGGAGCTGAAATGCTTGCGACATGTTTATAGGTAACAGTGGAAAGGCAGAAGTGTGGGTGGAGGGCTAGGGAGAATGTTTTCACTGTATTAGTTTCAGGTCAAGTACCTACTTTTCTTTTTTTTTTTTTTTAGAAAAAAATTAAAAATTTAAAAATTTAAATCTAAGTAGTTCAGTGGTATATATTACTTCAGTAGTCAGTGGTGTTAAATTGCTTATGCTAATACTTAAAACTCTACAGTTAAAAACATAACTGTTTTCTAATGAAGTCCATTTGCATCTATATCCCTTTGATGTTTTTTCAGCACCGTTTTGCAAAAAGTAACATTTGAGCAAATACTTATATGTAAAATAAATACTTCTTGTGCAGAACTGTAGGAAAAACTTGATAATACAGACAAAAGAACAATTATCCACTGTGATTGCAGACTTCTGTGTAGTGGGGAGAATCTTTCCAAGGGAAGAACAATAACAACAAAGAATGGTGTTTATGGCTCCAGAGTTTACATGTTGTTTTGATAATTAATTTTAGCCAAATGCTTTCTATTAGTTGCTGAATGTGCTGTAAATACAGCACATATAACTTCTGTAAATGAAGTTAGGCTAAAAGTGCCATTGGAGGAAAAAAGATTTGCAATGGCAGAAGTGAGGTTCTGGCGAAACTCATTTTTTAACACAAATTCATTATGATCTGAGAATCACAGCTAAACTTTAGGTGATCAGACCTTTGTTTCTTAGGTAGCTTGCAATCTACTAAGCTGGAGATGCCTGCAATGTGTGAATATTTTCTAGCCTTACTTAGTAATGATATACGAACACTGTACCCTCTACTTAAAATTGTTACTCTATCTTCTGTGAGAGCAAACCTTTACTTTAAATAACTGAAAAATTGCCTTGACAGAGTGATGTTCATAGGGGAAGATTAAATGTGTAAAATACCACCTTAGATTCATGTTTACAAGGACATGTGAACAAAGACCAATCAACCTTAGGAACTACAGTGACTTAAATAAAACCTAACTAATTATAAGGATTTTATATTCTTTCATATTAACATTGAATCACAGTTGATCAGTTTACTTTTCCTCTTTATTCTACTGTACAACATTTTAATTCTTAGAAACTATTTGATTGCTAATAGATTCATCTGACGTCTCCTCGGCGGTCTTGGCTGCTGCTGAAGTTGTGCTATTTTTTTAGAAAGTAACTTGAGATTTACAGTGGGGGGAAAGAAGGCAGACAGTGTGTGCAAATGCAGACATATCTGCAGCATAGATGAATAGTGAATCTCTCTATGTGGTGGAAAGCATATTTATTCAAACGAGGGCTTTCTTTTTTCCAATCTTTCTTGAAATCCTGTTCAGGTTCTGTTACAGACTTCCCAAGTCATTTTGGATCTGACTTGTTGTTTCAGTATCATTTCTTGGACTTAGAAAATTGTTTCCAATGTCTCTGGTAGAGAGAACTATTTATGTCAGTCAGAAAATGAAATTAGTTTCTCCTTGTGGTTAATGAAAATAGATGCGTAACTTTAGAGAAAAATTGATAGTTTAAGCTGATGTTGCAAATGCCTTCTGGCCATTCAGCAAGTGTGCTTCAAGTTGAAACTGAAAATCTCTGTGAGAAAAAGTGACATGGAAAACATTTGTTTCAGTACCTTTTTTTTTTTTTTTTTTTTTTTTTTAACGTATGCTCTACAGAGCAACTCTGCCTAAACGTCTGTACAAATTTGCTGAACGCGTTACGCCTTTTGGAAAATGGTATGCAACAGAGTACCTTAATGACACAAAGTTCTTTAATAACCGAGTTGTGGGGATGCCTGTGAGGCAGGAGCTCCAAAACCTTATAAGCATCTGCTGTATCTTGATACATCCACAGCCCTCTGAAATACGCTCTTCTTAGCACCCTTAATTTAGTCAATTTTCAGTGTGTTTATACATTAAGTATTATGTATTTCTGCCATCTAGTGGGAAATACTATAAATACACATCCAAATATGCCTTTAATATGCCAGTTTTTTTCTCTTTTACAAAACTGGTGTACTTTTTACAGCTTTAA